ATATTTATTATTAATTTTCTTTTTTTGCTTTTGGTTACTCCCACTCTACTTTTTTTTATTTCTTATGCGCGATTGTCCATTCTTAAGCAACGCAAATTTATTCATTTTGTTTCTTCTAACTTTTTCAACTTTTACTATCCACGCTTTGCAGTTACAAGCGCTACTTTCACATACATACTTATTGTTTATAAATATTTACATACATATGCTGAAGTCACTAACTAACTTTTATGCTACATATCTTCCAATGTTTAATTATATAATTATAGTTTAATCTTAAATCGCAAACACTAACAGATTTTTTAACCCTAACTTAATTAATTTAACGTGTCACAAAAACAATTGCATGCGTTTTTATCTTAATCTCTATATGTAGCCAATATTTATACACTAAATACTGTAGCGACAAAATTTTTTTTAACACTTTTACACATTTTACGTATAAAAATGTTTTGTAGTTTTAAAACTATTTTTATTTATTTTCCAAGTATTTTGATTTTTTATACTTTTTTAATGTATTCTTCACGTCTTTGTTCTTTAAAAAAAAAATAAATGTTTTGAAATGTTTCGTTTATTTAAATTTTTTTTTTCTTTTCATACATTTTTTCATTTTTTTTACATAAATTATTAGAAATTTTTTGTTAACTTTTTAACTAATAAATTAAATATGTTTAAAATGAATTAATGACGAAAAAATATTTGCTGGCTTTTGATACACAATTCATTAATAGTTTCAGAATCTATACATATAATAATAAAAAACAGTTCTTAATGTGCCACACTTCTTTATTATTATTTTATTTTCTTTTACACACTCATTCATGCAATTTCAATTGAAGTTTTTATGCTTAACAATTATTTTGCTTACAAGTATTTCACTTAAAAATATATCAACAATTTGTTTCAAATATTTGTTTGTTAATATTTTAGTTTTATAAAGTTATATTTTACTTTAATCAAGTTAATAATGCATGCATATAGCTAAAGATATATTTTATATATATTTTTT